ATGGATTGCATACGCTTGCAAGAAGGCGAAAGCCATGCGACCAGAGTCACGGAGACGATAGTGTGGGAGTTTGTAAGGTGTATACCGGGTGTGAATCTGAAGCGGATAACTTGAGAGAAACCCGGCTCTTTGGCTAGATAAACGTAGCTACACCCTAATTTGTTGCAGGATAAAAAAAAAAAAAAAATCAGGACAATCTCCTTCTACAAGGCCTTCCCCTCTTTCGGCTTTAGCAGAGCGAGCGCTGGAGAGGAGGCTAGTGGAGAGGAAGAAACCACCAATCATGACGAGCAGAGAGCTTTGTGGGCCACGTACTAATTTTCCCACGGACCTGGGCATCAAGCCGAACTGAACCTTTCAGCAGAGCCGCTGTAGGGCTGAGGAGAGCGAAGTGAATCTAAGCCGGACTAAGAAGAACCGTTTCATGATTTGCTTAAATTTCTCTACGTTCATCTTGGTTCCAAGACGCCACGAAAGCTTAAAACAGTATGGATAGAAAACCAACAACAACAATAACAACTACATCAACAACAGAAAAGGCGTTTATTGATGCGCGGCAGATACGTATCTGCCGACAAAGCCTCTGCGATCGTAGAATTTGCAACAACGAAAAAGATACTTGAATAAAAGCGAATTGCGTGGGTAAGCTTTCGTGACGGCTAATCCCCTTGTTGCTTGTGTGTAGCACTTCCCAAGCCGTGTGCTCTAGTGGCTGCAACTTGTTTTGCTGCCTTTCTGGCTCGTGTCCCAGCTAAATTCCAAACTCGTTCGGCTCGGGGAGAGAATAGCACGAGTGGCCGAATTTAGCCAACATAGCGTGGAATTACCAAGGTCCGCGAACATCCCCCCTTTCTTCTTGGAATGTCATCACAGCCGCTTGGTGCCAACTCGGCAATTGGACCCGATCCCAATGTCGAGCGTCGTTCGGCGCGTTGATTGGCCACAAGGCCCAGCTGAAAGCTGACGCGACAGTCGTGCCCAATCTGGATGACGTCGAAATTCGAGTGCATCGGCTTTGACTATTCTGGGTTGCGTTGATTAGCTCACTGACAGCGTGCATCTGGGATTGTTCTCGTCAGTGTCATTGCTGCAACAGTTAATTAAACTAAGTAAACTTTGTTTTAAAATTCAGAATCTACGTAATTGTTACACGTCTGAGCAGGTTGTCTAGTACGTCACTGAAAATTATAACAGTAATGTTTTAGTAGAAACGAACTACGCCGCTACTTTTTTATTACCATTACTTCTAGAAATGATTAACTGTTAAGCTCTGTAGCTTTAAATCATAAACAAAAAATCATGGAAACAACCTTTACAAAAAAGTAGTGGGTAGACCTCAAAGCAAGCTGCTATGAGGTCTACCCACTATCCTTCGATCAGAGCCAATCACAGCTCGGCGTCCCTCTGACGTCACTACAACCCCTGCAAAAGAAGCAGACGACTTGCGCTCCGCATAAAGAAACATATCGGTACATGAACCTCTGATCCATCAACGACTGGTTTTATAACCTCTGTCGTTGCTAACGCTACCGTACTCTCGAATTTACGCGCCGTAAGTTTAGAGAAGGGGTACCTAAACCTCTTTGGCTGAGGGGCTGGACTAGCAACCTTTCTGAGTCACGAGGGCCGGAAAAAACAAACAAAAAGTAATTAATAACGAAGAAAAACGAATTAAATAAACTCATATAAGCATTTAAACGCAGAAATTACTGTTAGAGTAAGTACTAAAATAAGAATCACTAGGGTGGATGAATATACATACTTAGAATTGAACTTTAATATTTGACTAATTGTAACATTACACAGCACTTGTGACCAAGAAAACTCGCCAGGCATAAATCAAAGCGCATGGGAGCCTTGGCATGTTCTAAGATGGCAGAACACTAATGAGAATGAAAAATCGAATGCTGACGATATGCAGTAGTTCAGACGGAGGACACTAAGTCCAATGTACACGAGAAGGCAATGAACCTTTTACATAGGTACGCAGACATGAAGCAGGGAACAATTAATAATATGGCGAAACGACCCATGTTATGATGCAGTTTCTCTTTACGCGCACTTCTTTTTGCGACACTAGCCCGGGTCTGCTGGAAGCGAGCCGCGGGCCGGTCGGAAGGCTTCCGCGGGCCGGATCTGGCTTGCGGGCTGGGGCTCGAAGACCCTTGCTTTAAGCCGTACGACGCCTTAAGGAAAATGACTAGCCCAGACGACATTGGTAAGACTAAGATGCAAGCTAGAATACGCTTCCCCAGATCACTTCGTCTTATTTATTCTGAATGCGCTCTCCATATACTAGCATATCAGGAGTACGCCAGTCAGTTAACCTAGACGCTTTCTATCCGCTGCCGTGTACCTCGCGTATTTCTTCTTCATCAAAACTTTTATCGCAACAAGGATCTCAGAGAATATTCCCTATAACCTCCTGACCGTATTTTTGCTCGTCTTGACAATTCTTACGTGAAATTTCTTTGTCCACAGTCTCTTATCAAATGTCTACATTGCCATCGGCAACAAAAAATTGGAATGCACTACCTGACCTCATTGTTTCTATTAATAACACTAATATATATGCAGTAGCTACTACCGTCTCCCTCTCTAACCCCTCAATTAGATTACAGTACTTTGTACTGTATTATTATTGGGTTCATTGTTTCTTATAGTTATATATTCATATGTATAATCCCTCCCTCGAGTAACACCCCTGCAGGTCCTCAAGAAAAAAATAATATGATAGTCAAGAAAGTTATGAAATCCCGATATTATTACTTTGCGAATATATATATACTATATGCGTATATCATTAATCGTTATTCTAGCATTCGTTTCTTCTGGACACAAACTGCAAATGTAATATTAACTGGAATTGAATTTCTTCTTGCTAATACTTGATGCGACTAATTCAAGAGTGATTAAATCATATCTGTTGGACTGTCAAAGTACTCTCTAAATGCGGAACGCCCGAAACCGGCGTACTGTGCTCTGAAAGCGCCCCCTCAGCCCTTCGCAGAACCCGCGGAGGGGCTTCTGTTTTTATCCCCGCGTTTGTAAACATGAGGCAGCTTGCCTATGTCGACGTCATAACTCCGTAAAGAGCGTCGAAAAAAAATAAATAAATAACAGATACGAGGGAAAACCCACACCCGGCGCTTTGACGTGAGTCGAGGATCGAGCCCTGCTAGGGACTTGCTGTTGGAGTTTGTGAGTTCGTCCGAGTGTCAGGCAGGTCAAGCTGGAGTCACACAATAAGATAGGCTTTGGAATAACCGCACTTGAGCCGCCTTGGAGTTGAACGTCCTTGTTTCACGCCTTCTGAATGGCTCATCTGAAATGGCGGGAAAACGGTTTTTCGTCCTCCAGAAATCTTCAAACGATATCGCCATGAGCTTCCTGACAGCGTATCTGAAGCAGTTCAGGATCTGAACTGAACGCTTAAAAAAGAAAGGACAAGAGGAAGAAGAGACTACAGGTTGGCGTTAATTGTTTCTTCTTCCTTTTGTCCTTGTTTTTTTTTTTTTAGGCGTTGAGTTCAAATGGAAAACCAACTAGCCCAACTTATTATTTTGCAGCTCATGATGTCGCATTTTCGTAGAGCCGTGGTCACACTGTTACTAATGCAGCGTACAAAAGGACAGTGTGCAGCCGAGGTTTTCCCGGTATGACGGTCTCGTGAAACTGGCCGTGCAAAAACTGTCTGCAAACTTGTTCAAAGCACGTACAAATCAAACGTGCTTCCGCCATGCGTGAGGCGTGTCCGCAGGCAACTCGTGTCTGCAGACCGTGTACTTTGTACGATGAACGAGCTGTCCGACTTCGGCTTAGCGATCGCCAATGTGGAGAGCGATTCGTATGCTTCTTGCGCTGACGTCAGAACGACGCCGTGCTCTGATTCGCTCTGATGGAAGGATAGTGGGTAGGCCTCCGAGCAAGCTGCCTTGAGGTCTACCCAATGTCCGGCATTCAGAACCATTCAGAGTTCGGCGTTCTGACGTCACAACAACCCCTGCAAAAGAAGCAGACGAGGTTGTTTACAAAATCAAAAGTTCGGGGTTTTACGTGCCAGACCAACGACGGGCATCTGGCACGCCCCAGCGGAGGACTGAGGATAAATTTCGACCACCTGGGGATCTTTTGACGTGCAACCGAAAGCTCAGTTACACGGCGCCTTCTCCGGAATAAGCCTCCGTCAGATTGCGGGCACCTCGGCCGGGATTCGAACCCGCCACATGGGGATCCGTAGGCCGGCGCTCTCGCCTCGGAACCACCAAGGCAATTGCACAAATTGTTAAAAAAAAAAAAAAAAAAATCAGCATGTTTGTAAACAGCGTGCCTGGCGCGAAGCGGGCGCAGTGTGGAGCGCAAGTTCATCTGCTCCTTTTGCAGGGGTCGTTGTGACGCTAGGTGTGGGCACTGCGAGTGCGCGGTAATTAGATTCGCTTGAGACGAAGCCTTTGCGCATGCGCAATGCCTGTCAGCATTGCCACCGCAGTGGTGTGTCGTCGGACAAATGAGTTGGTGTAAGGTCGAGAGACGGAAAGGGTGCAGCGTGTTTTTGAGCCTCGCGGGGTTCGCGCGACACGGACCAATGCCTCCTAGGAGGTGTTGCACGGACACGGTGTCACGTGACACGGGGACGTCACGTGACGCCGCGGTCAATCACATGACCATGTGACGTGATGTGACGATGTTGCACGACGTGATGTCACATGACACCACAACCACTCGCGTGATCATGTCACGTAATTCTTTTCTAAGGACGTAACGGTACGTGTCTCTAACCTAACTACAATCCAGCTTGAATAAGTTCATCCCTAAACTCATTATAAATATATTTTCAAGTAACTAACTGCTCGTTCCGTTTTCATCGGAGTGATGCTTATAACTTTGCAAGAGTGTGAGCTTATGTGAGTATATAGGTGCACTAAAGGGTTGTGCGCCCAATGTGCCTAGGGCTTGAATGGTTCATTCAATTAAAGTTCATCTCCTTTTTGTTTGCGTAGGCGGAGCCATCTGAGGCAGAGTCCGGCTTGGCCCCCGAGCTTCCCCTCAAGGTCATCTTGGTGGGAGACTCAAGATGCGGCAAGACTGCTCTAGCCACCCGATTTGTCACCGACGCCTTCACGGAGGTAAATCCACATTTAGCTTTTATATAATTATATTTCATTGAATAGATGGAGAGTTTTTGACGCGCCTCAACCTTGATTTACTGATGAGGGAAGACTTCGCAATGTATAGAAATATACAGCTTAAAACAACAGGCTGTGCATAATGGGATGATAACAAGGTAGTCAAAACGACTCCATGTTCGGTTAATATTCCATTTGGAGAGGCTCAGTGACATTGCGCGATGTTGCGGGCGTTTTCTCAGATGAGTTCTTGTTTCTGAACCGTGAGTATATAGGCGGTAGTTAGGTTTTCTCAACTTCTTTCGTTCACCTGTAGCCATGTCCAATAATACCCTTCTAAGCACTGCAGTCTTTGTCCAGCGTATGTCTTGTGTCCGTCTTCTACTTTGTGTCCCATCTTTTTTACGCTATTTTTCACTATGTCGTTTAACCAACCAGCCCAGCAGTCTACCCTGTTACAAACTTTGTCTACTGGTGTGTGGAATGCATTATATTTCTGAGCATGCGCACTATCTCTTTTCTACGGAATATCAGGGGTCGCGCATGCGTCCACATCACAGTGACTCGGCATATTTAGCCTTGGTGGTAGATGCTGGTAAAGAGTATAGTATGTCGTTGCAACAAATTAAGAAGGTGAAGAGAAGCACCTCCCACAGACCCCTTCACTCGCTGGTGGTTTTCTAGTGTGAGGATTTGTGTCACTGTATTTTTTCCCGCATCATTTTCGAGTGTCTTTTTATCTCACTTTTCTTGTTCCATTTTATGGCAGGTGTACACGCCGACCGGCTTCGACCGTTATTCGACCAACATCGAAGTGGCCGGACAGCGGATACACTACTCTGTCTGGGACACCTCGGGTACGTGGAGCCGAATTGCAACTTTGAATTTCCGGTTTCTTACGCGTCTATTTTGTAGGCGATTCGGCATGACGGATCGGCGTTTACTCCGCTAAATGCAGTCAGCACCTATTAATGCTTGAACGGACCAGATTTTGTAACGAAGGGTTTAAAGAATATCCGAGCTGAAACATTCAAGAACATGAAACGTCAGGTTTGCCGCAGGCGATGTGCGTTTTTTTACGTTCCCATTTGCGGCTGACGTTCTTTTCGCCGTTTGGAAGACGCTACAAGATCACACTTCAGGCTTCCAGCGTCCTGCCGAGTATGCGCGCACGTGCAGTGCAAGCCTTAGTCAGGGCAACTGGATCGTGCCTGTGGCTTCATCGCTCCTAAAAGTAAAATGAACTCCAGAACGAATTTGCTTTGCGTCAGAACAAAGTGTGTTTTGCGCGTTTGGAAAACAGCTGCGTTCAGTATTAAAGTGACCCAACCAATACAAAAGGGAACAGGTACTCATGTCCTGTACTTTATTACTTCTTGACTACTTTTAACAGAAAATAATAGGAGAAGTAAGGCGGCATGGTATTAGAACGAATGTCGGCAAACCTTTGTCTCAATTGAGCTACAGCTGATCCACGGTGGCGGCGTTACGTTGCCGCTAAAGTGTTAACACCGTTCCCTTTATGCTTCCTATTTGCAGGGTCTCCGGCGTATGACACAGTGCGCCCTCTGTCGTACCAAGATGCGAGCGTGGTCCTGCTATGTTTCCACGTCGGCTGGCCCGAGTCCCTCCACAATGTCCAACACAAGGTAATAACCATAAATAAAACCACATCCTTCGTAGGATGTAGTGGCACTTAAACGAGGAGTTGCCAGAAGGAACAATATTTGGCGGGCCTTATTGGGGCTTCCGAGCAAATTAAAAACTGAGGGAATATTAGTACCAGATCGAACACGTGAGGTGGAGTAACCTTTTTATAATTTGTCTTACTTGAAGATACAATGCTGTCCCACAAAATGTCTTTTTTTTTTTTTTTGCGTGGAGCACGCGATTTAGAATTTTCCGAATATTCGACCTCATTTTTTTTATTGGTAGACAATAAACCTCTCTTGATCTCGGTGTGTATCGACGCAATCAAACAATTCAGAGACTTACATATCTTGTGAACAGTAATGCGCACATTAGGTAGTGTTTTGTTTTTAGTTATGCATCATGGGCCAGTAGCTCAAATCTGTTAACCTAGTCATGAAAGAAGTCAGGACTCCGCAAGACTAAAATAGGAGATAACTATACTGCTCAGATCCAATGTTTGTTCCTATAATTCCGCTAATTTTGTTTTGAAAATGGTGCAATAGTTTCGTGGATAGATCGATTTAAATGCGGGACCCTCGGATCCACCATAGCCTCCTATATACTGACAAAGCCTGGCAGATCGCCACGAGAGGCGGCCGCCGAAATGGAAAAGGTGGAACGGCAGGCAACGAATTAGAAAAGAGCCACGTGACTGGGCGCCCCGCTGCGGCGAGACGCCGAAACACACTTCTCAGAGCGAACAGCTGTGTTTCGGGTCCTCGCCGCTGCAAAAGCTGTGCGCTGACGTCCAGGTTCCTCGAGAAATGGCTCTTTGATGTTCTGTGCTACCAGATCCTCGCGCCACAAATTTACGACGGGGCACTATATAGCTCCGTTGTCGAACTTCCAGGCCATTCAGAGTACAGAGGAGGCTATACCACCACATTCGAAAGTGCTGCCGTGTTTGTTGGTTCGGTGACGTCATCCGCCCAACGCGCGGCGTCCTCTTGCGCGCAATCCCAGACTTGGCTCTCACGGCGTCTCGGGCTTCAGCTTCCACGTTTACCCTCCGAGTAGTGGCCCAAAACGAGCGTTTTGTAATACGGGAATCGTATTCTCAAAACGAACGGCGATCGAGCATATAGCATCGTGTCAGGCGCCATGTAATCAAAAAGCAAAAAAAAAAAAAAAAAAAAAGGGATGGTTTGTTTACTTTAGGGCCGGCCCTGAGTTTGAGAACCGATGAACTAGATTCTGGTGTAAATACGCTACCCGAAAAATATCACGTCCTCCAGAACCTTTCCTTCTCAGTGCCTGATAGCCTTGTGGCGAACTGAAGAGTCACATTCGGGATCGTTGATGCCGGACGTTCCAAATGACGACCTGCGTTCTCCCATCGTGTCCGCACGCAGTGGTTCCCCGAGGTTCGACAGCACTGTCCCGGAGCGGCCCTGGTGCTTGTGGGCTGCCAGAGCGACGCCCGACAGGTCCAGAGGCAGCAACATGGCGCTGACCGCTGCGTGAGCGCCGAAGAAGCCTTGGCTTCTGCACGACAGCTCGGCGTCACTGCTTACGTAGAGACCAGCGCAAGATACGCGCCCCGCAGCGTCCGGGATGCCTGGAAGGCGGCAGCGCAGGCGGCCCTTGGTGAAACTGCGGCTCCAGAAGGCGCCAGAGACACGTCTACAATGCGTCACAGGACTTGTAGCATCATGTGATCACGGATGTGCCATAAAGCGACAAAAGGCTTCTGACCACTGATGATGATGACGTGTGGCACTGGCGAGGCAGCTGGTGGACGTCGGCCTCTAGCGTCCAAGAGTGCCAACAACTGTGACCGTCGCCCTGTGTCTAGGGTCTTTGGGGCACCTGTCTGCGCTTCTGGGACCTCGGATGGTACCGCCCTTTTCGCCGTGACTCTACCTGTGAGCAGTTACTTTGGGGCCGCGGATGATTCCGTCCTATGACTTCAGAGTTTAGAATCACAGTGTCACAACCGGCGATTTCTGTTGTCGCTTTCGCACCTTGCGGTTGAACGGGTCTTCTACGCCATTCAAGCACTAGTCGAACTGCACAAACCTGTGGTGCGTGTGCTTTTTTTGCCCCGTGCCTTAAAGGGATCCTCCAGAACTTCTACAATGTTGTGCCTCGGGAAAACGATGTCGCTGTAAAGACGGATGAAGGATCTTGTCGAGCAATCGACATCCCACCTTCGTCAGCGTTTTCCATCTTGTCGACGTTATTTTGACGTGGAATTTTTTACATGGACGGTTTATAAGCGTTGATGCTCATTACCGCTGCTGAGAATGGTCATCGAGACAAGGAAATCCTGCTATAGCTATGGTTAGATTCGTGCCTCCCGATGTCCTCCTGGTGTTGAAATCACCACTGCTTTGTGGGAGAAGCTTCGTATGACTATCAAGGTGTAAATAGACTCGTTTTATATATGGTTTTAAATGCGTGTGTAGACGTTAATAAAATCTGTTTGTTGTCTTTATCTTTTGCTTTATTCCAAACATTGGGTTTTCTGAAATTTATTGATCACAGAATTGGCCCTACTCCAGATAAACCTGCTTGCAATTATTCGGTCACTCCTTTTGGATGTGAATAACCAGACACGTCACTAGATGCGAACGTACGCATGCGCCCTGGTTAAGTAATTGCGTCCTTATTTTGGTTGCAGGGGAATATTTATAATCTATCGGTGAAAAATTAATTGCGAACAGAAGAGCGCGTGGCTCGCGGTACAGGCTGCACCGCCAGGAAGTGAGCCTAGGGCCATTAGCGTGGCCTACTCCCATGCATAGAGTTATTACAATAAACGCTAGAGGTTCAGGTGGCGCTAGTGTGCTGTGGCATTTTGAAGCAGACAGCAAGCAGTCCCAATTCAACTTCCGGTAATGCATTCCTATGCATTACCGGAAACGGAAATCTGTATTAAAGCGCTCCAAAAGCGCTCCATTTGGAGCGCGCATATTCCGCTCGCAGATCTGGCTCGAGTTGGTCATCTTCCGCTCGTAGATCTCTGGCAGCGGCCGCTCCACTGAGCGTCTCCGACCACGCCGCATTTGCTCCGCGGGATTTCGCAGATATTTCCGGAAGTAGACAGAACGCATTACGTCATTTCCTTCAAAATCGACAGTACGCATGCGCGGCGAGGTTGGCGAGGTCGCCGGGCCGGTCGGGTCGTCGAGTTGGATCTGTTCGGATGCGTCGGTTCTTTGCGCGTGATTGTGACGGCTCGAACGCTTCTACCTCGCGTGGATCAGGGGTACAAAGCCGGGACTGGAGCGTGGTAAATCGTAAGCGCTGACATCTGTGATTGTGAGAGGAAGAACGAGAGAAAGAAAGACAGAAAATCCGGCAGCAGATGCAAGGTAAGGCCTGTTCATTCGGCAGCTAGCCACTGATTGTTCACCTTTTTTAGACTGCATTCCGCCGGCGTTTTCCCGTGCAATAAAGCAAGAACAGATTAGGCAACGACCGTGCAAGTGATGGTTTGTTACCTCTGTGTTTCTTAAAGTCGTACCAGCAATCTGAACTCCACCGATGGCAATCGCTGTGCGTGACCCGCCGCTTCGAGGCGGCCGAAAGGTATGTGACGGTGCCGAACGCGGACGTCTCCCTCGTTATTTGTGACATGGGCTACATGGTACGTATATTTTCGCCCGGCTTGTGTCGCGTGTTATTTCTGCAGCTAAACAGTGAAGGTTGTCACTGGTCGTCGGAAAGATCAGTCTCTAAGGCGTTGGTTGATTTGTCAAGTTCGAGCAGCGGACATTTTGAACGGCCGAGGGGGAAGCGGGGGGAGAAGGGGGGGGGGGGGGGGGGGGGTCGCTCCAAAAATGCGAGTTTATCTTCCCCTCGTCGACTCAGAGCGGGTCCCACGGAGAGGAATTTGGCCTCCCTCGCGAATTTTGGAAACCGCTCCGGATCTACGGGTGGAATTCACCATTAGATACATATCGTGTGCACACATAAACAACACGAGTTCAACACAACTCAGTGGCTCTGTTTTGAAGGCCTACTCGAGTAGCTTTGTATTCATCCGGCAGATCATGCTCAGACCTTTTCGAAAAACGTATACACGTCTTTTCAAAGCTCTGCGATATTGCAATGCAGCATAACGGCATCGCGATACACGCGCTTCTGTAACGTCATACACAGGGCTGGCCTTACACCATCAAGCGCCCTGGGCGAACTGCAGCCGTGCCCACCGTTTCTTATATGCCCCTATTTTCAAGGTATGACATCACGATGTTACAAAACGTGTGAGTGGTGTCCCAACACGAGAGTTTTGTCAGGCGAGAACTGCATTTCAAAAACGAACGGCGATCGAGCATAAACTGTCAGGAATGACGCTTGATGAGGCGACGAAACCTGAGACAAAACTAAACGTTTAATGGGGCTAACTTGTGCCCAAAACGAAACAGAAAAAAAAAAGGCTAGCGTCGCAGGCGTCCATGGCGGCGTAACAACAGCATCGAGTGCTGGAGCGAGAGTGACTCCGGTTCGCCACGCGGAACCCCTTTTGTACACGCGTGGGCTTCTGGAACAATCGGCATACAAGGTTCGGCGCATAGAACATTCCGACGTTGAACAAGCCCCCCCCCCCCCCCCCCCCCCCCCCAACAGGGTTCTTGAATCTACAAAAACGCCGGTACATTTACAAAAATAACAAAAAGGTGTGTCCGGTACCAGGCATCGAACCTTGGCCCGCTTGCGGGAGCCAAGCGCGCTGCCGACTTCGCTAGCTGCGCACGTCCATGAGAACCTCTGGATGGAGCGCTTGCTGAACTTCTATCGTTGCAACCTCGGCGATTGAGGGCGAAGCTGGGCTTGCGGCAGCAGGTATAGGAGTTCCTTGATTTCCTCCCGTACTACTCCCTGAATGACCTCAAGGATGTCCGGAGTGTTGCAGCTAGACGGCGAGAGGGCAGCGAAGCCGGGAAATCTCTGGTAGCGTGAGGCCCGTGCTTGAAGAGCACGTTTGATGTTTGTGGCCTCAGCGATGAAACCTTCGACGTGGGGTTCGCACAAGGCATCCCAAAATGTTCTCTTTCACTCCTCGCATCAGGACCCGCAGCTTTTTTCTCGTTGGGAGCATTTGGGTCGGCCCGGTTCATGAGGCGGAGAACGTCTTCGACGAAACTTGTGACGCTCTCGTTCGGCCATTGGCTTCTTACTTAGAGTTCTTCGGCCCGCTGACGTGGCTGCTGGCTGGCAAAGGTGCGTCGAAGCTCGGTCTAGGAGTCTTCCCACGAGGAAATCGACGCTTCGTAGCTTTCGAACCAAGTGCGTGCCGTGTTTTCCGGAGCGGAATAGACATTCCGTAGGCACTGCTCAGGCCCCTATTCGTTGAACCGGGCGACGCGCACGTACTGGCTCAACCAGTCGTCCACATCTTCATAAAGATCCCCATGGAAATTCGCCGGCGTACGTGGTGGGGCCTGCACGTAGACGATAGACGTCGGTGGCGTTCCGTCTTGCTGCGACGTGGTGTTCATCGTCGGCGTCGGCGATAGTTGACCGAACTCCGGAGGCTGGCCTTGATTGCGGCGGCTGGCACACCGGGTATCGGGTTCGTCGATGGGGATTAACTTTCCGGGACTTGAAAAGGGTCGAGCCCGACAGATCTTCCGAGGGGCACGCTTCACGGACATGGAATGCGGTACCTCGCACCTCCACCAAAATGTCCCGAATGACAATTTGATGAGGCGACGAAAACTGAAGCAAACTAAGCACTTGCGCCCGAAATACACACACAAAAAAAGGCTAGGGTCGCAGGTGTCGATGGTGGCGTACAGCAGTATCGAGCGCTGGAGCGAGACGGACTCCGGCTCGCCATGCGGAGCCCCTTTTATACAGGCGTGGGCTTCTGGAACAATCGGTGTAGAAGGTTCGGTGCGTAGAACATTCAGACCTCGAACAAGCAACCGGGTTCCTCAAATTTACCGAAACGCGACATTTAAGAAAATAACAATAAGGTGCGTCTGCTACCAGGCACCGAACCTCGGCCCTTTTGCGCGGGAGCCAAGCGCGCTGCCGAATTGGCTAGCTGCGCACTTAGCAATGGTGTCGTGTCGGGCGCCGTGTTCAAATAAATCGGAGCTAAAAAAATTAAAAAGGGTCGCGGCGGTTCTTTTCTTTTGATGCCGGCCTGGGCGACCGCCGAGGTCACCCGCCCCTCTGGAGCCGGCCCTGCTCATACATACATTATTTTATAGGCTATGTACTCGCCAGCTCGAGGATGACGTTTGCACATGCCACTGCCCAGTAGTTTCTGTTCTATCAGTAGAGGGTTTGATGTAGAGCATGGGTTTCCAAATCCCGTCCCGCGGATGGCCGCGGTCTTTCCAGTAGCGCTCGGCTCGCGGCCCGGTGCTAGCAACGCAAAAAGTAAGCGCGCGATATCAGGAATAATAAGAGAAAACTGCAGTATTGTATAAATATTCTAATTTTCGAAAATTAGTTTCGAATAATAGGCTGTTCGATATTCGGTTTGAGGAGAACTCTGATGTTCGTATTTTTCGAAGTGTTAGTCGCGGTCGGTCAACCCCCTTGAGCGCGCTTCTTATGGCTGATTCCCATGACGGACTAATCAGCGGACGGATTGGTCACGTGACGACATGTCCGTGGTTCGTCCATCTCCCAAGCGCGTCCGTACGAGGGAGACGACGAGCAGACGCCAGCGAGGACGGACCGAACCTGTTCGCCACCCCACAGTGCCGCGAAACTCCTACATCGCACTGTGGCACCGTTGTCCAAGAGAGAAGTCGAGGTTTGCTACCGCGATAAAGAATTGTACGCCGCTGTTACGTACAGATTGAGACGGAAAACTGTGATAGGCTTCGCGCAAAGCGCCACTAGCTTTACTAACCCAAGGCATGACAGTCACACCATTTTGGTTTTGTTCTATACTCTGTTTCACCTTGTGTCGTACCGCAGGAAAGGCTACAAGCGCGAGCTCCTTGCTCTAGGGCACATCTCGGCGGCACAAGCTCTCGTGCACCAAGGGCAGCTGCCAACGCTATGAGCTCGCGCTTCTAGCCTTCGCTGCGGTACAACATAAGGTGAAACGGAGTGTAGAAGGCTTCGGGGCTCGCGGAAAGGCGTTTAGGGATGCCTTCACGCACTCCGCGCTTATGCACAACACATAAAGCAACACTAACACTCCCCAAAATTAGTTTGAAATGTTTTGCCGGGCCATTCGTTAGGGTATCCGAAAACTACACAATCAATAATTTGCCACAGCGTCACGTATATTTCTAATAACTTCAATATACGAATCTGCTTGAAACCGAAACTGGACTATGGAGGAAGAAGAAAGGTACCAAAAATCACGTGGCTATGCGACTTTTTTTTCTATCATCGTATCTGCAGTTTTTTAGAAGCCACAAAAATGGGTATCATATATTTTTTTTTTTATTTTTAATATTGAGTGTGTACCTTCGACGACCCATGACTGATTATCTTTGGTGTTTATGTCTTAACCATAGACAACTGCACGTAACCACGGAGAAGAGAGTGAGCGCGACTCAAACCGATCAGTTCTCGATCGGCGGTTTTCCTGCGGAAAGAAAACGAATTTGGAGCCGCTAATTGTGTTCCGGGTAGTTGGGCTCTTATACGTTATGTACAAATAAAAAGAGCCTTGGCCATTATAAATACCGCGTCAGTGTCCCTTTAAGGGGTATTCACATAAGGGAGAAATCCCGGGGATTTCTACCCGGCACGCGCGCATCACCAGACGAAAACGCGAAGCTTTTGCACATTGCAAAGCCTGACGTTTTCGTCGCGGGATGCGCGTGCCGTGGCGAAATCCCCGGGATTTCTCCCTCGTGTGAATACCCCTTTAAGTACACCACAGCGCAGCCACAAGGAAGGTCTTGCTCGGTGAAAGGATGCTTGGAAGCGCAATAAACCCCTTTCGTGATTCGCCTGCCGATTATTAGAAGGTCGGAACCACTGCACAATGGCAGAACAACTGACATCGTGGAACGCGCAAGTCATCCAAGAGATAGCGAACGGCGGAGCGCGGCCAACGCGAGAAGCCGACGAGCCAGTCAAACAGCGTCAAGTGCAACGTCACTGCACTCATCACCTTTTTCTGTGAATGTTTTTCGCTTCTATTGCAAATGAACGCATGAAGTGTGTCGTGACGTTGCGGTTTTAGTCCGCCATTGTGCACGAATTACACAGCTGCCAAAAGAGGGCAGTATTTTGGAAGGGGTATATAATAATTCACGGCGTGCTAGACTAGTTTTGAAGGAAGTCTCTTGGCATAGACCCTGAGTACCGGAACCTGCGTCGCGTCAGCTGGGCAAAGTATCTTCAGTTTCTATCACACGTGGAACCAAGAATCGCGCTACAAAATGAACCAGCGAACGCACAAAGCACAACGATGCGCCATTTTTGTTTTAATCGTCCGAAAAAAAAGAAGAAAAAAAAGAAACCATTGCACTGTTGCCAGACTAAACGCCTTTTAAGTCAATCCCCCGCAAAAAATTCCGCGAGTGAAAAGGCGCTAGACTTTATCAGTCTTCACGTCACCGGACAAGGCGAGGATAGTAGGAAAAGTCGACGTGACTGTCACATGGTACTCGGTCCGCGTACGAAAATCGCTATTCGGTCCGTCGTGTGAATCGGCTTTACCGAGCACCGGTGGTTGCACTGTTGAGAAGCATGATCCGTGGAGCTCGGTTTCGTGGGTGTTGCTTCTTGACATCCCATTATTAGGCATTGCACTTTCTGAGGTCGCAGTCTATAAGTATAGCTAGATTAAATAAATTAACTTGGCTTTGATATTAACAAGAGGAAGCTTTGGAATAGCATTTACAAGTTGAGAAAGGTTTTTGTTTAGGCATGGGGCAGTAGTGAAAAGCCTTGGTGAGACTATTCAATATTTGATTCGAAAATATTCAGCCAAAACCACTATTCGTATCGAATTCGCATCGCACTAAAAATCTCCTTTTCGCACATGTCTAAAAAACTGTATCAAAACGTAAGTTCTCTCGCCATATTATTTACTGTACATTGTCACCACCAGAATTACTATTTGTAGTTCCCTGCTTTATCTCTGCGTAACTATGAAACACACTTTCAGTCTTTCCGCTCTGGTGAAGAAGGAAGACCAGCGAGGCTGTGGCGGGAATGAAGGAATGTCCGGCCGCAAGTCGGCAAGCCAGGGTGGAGAGGCTGGGAAGGTCGCCGCCATCTATGAGCGACAGCGGCAACCAGACGACCGGGAAGCCAGTTGTCTGGCTGCCACCATTGCTCATAGATGGCGGTAGCTGTCTTTGTTTTGTGTCGACATTTATTAGCTGACGGACGCGATCCTGGGGAAAGTACCCCTTAATAGCTCCGCTGTAAAATTTCTTTGCGTTCTCATGATATATATCTTGCATAGCGATGCGATCTGATCTACCATTTTCATTAGTGTTCTGCCCTGTGTGAATATGTCAAAGTTCCTGTGCGCATTGACTTATATCTGCCTGGTGTGTTCTCGGGGTCACAATTATTTTGTAATGTCAAAAGTAGTAAAATACTGCACTTAAAAACAAAGTATGTATTTGTCCACCTTTCCTTTTTTTTTCTAGCTGAAATATTTGTATCTAAATGATTACTTAGGCTTATTATATAGTATTTTTTTAGTGTATATCAGGGGTGGAGCAAGAAATTATTTCCGGGGAGGGGGGGGGGGGGGGGGGGGCAAGATTACTATACCGTGGGGGGAGGGGGGCCTTTCTGTAATTTTTTCGTGTGGTAAGTAGTCCATATGGTGTACAATTCACGGGTAGGGACATGGCCGTCCCCAACCCCCCGGCGGTAGTCATTCAATATTTGTTTTCATTAATTAAAAGAAAATAAAAGGTTATAACTTTGGGGGAAGTCATTCTCCCAAGCTACCCCGCAGACTATGCCACTGACCTATACTGTCTTATCGAATTTTCGGCCTTCGAGGCCGCAACAGGTCCCCAATCCAGCTCCCTAGCCAAAACGTTTGGAGACCTCTGATTTAGACAACAGATATTTCTGATCGCTGCCCGTTTCTGCTTGTGAAAGCAGAATGTGGGATTACAAGCATGCCCTAGGTAAATTCGAGTGCAATCCCTACCGAAAAATCCGGTATAACTTTCCCTATCCGGAATATGGAACCGGAAATTTGTTACTGGAAACCCGAAATCCAGATTGAGAACAAAGGAATAATTTCTGAAAACCTGAATTCCAGATAGAGTCCAGATAGAATCGAGATAGATTTCCGGTTCCATAATCCGGATAGCGAAAAGTTATACCGGAATTTTCGGTAGGGATCTGCCGTACCTGTACGCATGGGGCAGCCAAACTTGCAATTGTGCATTAGCACCAAGCGGGAGCGGAATTAGAGGGGGGGTCCGGATGTCCTGACCCCCCTCTTGAACCCTGCATGTGTAAGAATTTAGGGCGTAGAAACGGGAAGGGGGGGTGGTCTTACAAATATGCTACGCTGACCAACACCTGACTCCCTTCCCCAAGAAAAACCTGCGTCCGCCACTGGCACCAAGTACCACAAGCGTTAGTGCTTACACAAGTGTTTGCTTACAGGTTCATTTAATTGGGTCATGTGACTATTCCTAGACATCTACAGCTGAAATTCACCATTTCAGCTGAAATTTCAGCAGTTAAGATGTCCTAGACATCTACACTGCTGAAATAGAACAACTCCGGAAGGTGCTTTCACTCTGCACCAGCTAACATGTTGAACCACTGCTATTACCTTAGGCGTGCTCTAGTGTATAGCGAAACGAATTACCGCTTATTAACGCAACCTGCGTTATGGCCGAATCTCATGATCATTGATGATACACTACACGTGCGCTTAGGCTTTACACGTGCAATATGATTTGTAGTTTTTTCTTATCTCAATTACCTTATTGCACATAAGAAAGCTTTCAACCGGCCATTTTTTTTTAACTCTATCCTTAAGCTCATTTTAGGGAAAGCAGAAAGAGATAATAACACCAGTTAGTAAAAAAGAGTATTCCCCGAAGCGAAAGCGAAAGCGAAACTCTGACCGTAGTGGTCACATTTCACGACAGCAGAAACACCATCGACATCAGTTTAAACATGTCAGCGCCCAGTGAATGCCCGTCCTCGCATTCACGAAGCCGCAAATCAGGTCATATTTTCGACTTTTAATAGGGGATACTACTGTCGTAGTCGGTTGGCGTGCTCGTCAAAATAGCATTACGACAAGGCGCGTAGGAATAACGATCTGTTAACGCTTTGCAGTGCGGAATCGACGTTGTCCAAGCTGATGCCGAGGAAATTTCGACTAGGTTTTTTTCTCCCCTCCAGGCCTGCGGGAATTTCGTTGTCAGGGAGAGCTGACGCTACATTCTGTGGAAGACGACCATGGACGGCTTCTCTCGTGATATATGCACCTTCAACAGGGGGTCTTTGAGGCAGGTTCAAACGCGCGTCAAGACAGCAGACGGTAGGAATTTCGTCGAGTCCAAGGACGAGACCGGCACGATCTGCGTTGAGGCGTCTGCTCCGCACGACAGATCCCTCGGTTTTGTACCAGACCTGACACCCGACCTCCTACTGGGAGAAGTCCTACCTGGCCTTTATGTGGGTGAGTTCAAATCGACAGACTCGCCCTTCTTTCCAAGCCCGGAAAGTGTGGCGATTGTTTAGCGTCTTACTATGATGTCATTATCGCACCGCGGCCAATGGAACTTCGGCATTAGCCCCGATAAGAACGCGGAAGAACAAATCACGAAGAGATAACATAACATGCTACGCCCCGTGATTCTTAAGCTCGACCATAGAGGCTTGAATTTTGTATCGCTTCGTATTATCTTCGACAGCCGTATTTGAAGCCCCGGAGGAAATTAAAACGTCGTAGGATTTGTGAAAAAAAAAAAAAAAAGAAGAAGAACAATTGGGAGGTCTCTCCTCTCTGAACAAATATCTACGAACCCATTCATTACACGAAGAAAAAAGAAATAGAATGACAAACAGTGGAACAGGTCGCACAGCTTCGGTATTGTCACTGACGTTTCGAGTGATGAAAATGGCTACCATTTCGTCCGGGAATCATTTCTGGCAAGCTGAGAGTGCGACGTGCAGCGCACTTCGTATTTCTACTTACCTGCGCATATGTGTCATTTTGTTGCTAAATAATCAGTTGAGATATGGCGCTCCCTCAATTAATGACAGTGCAGACTTTGCACTCTCGCCATATCGAGTTCATCCGCATGTTGTTTTGTTTCCCAACGATTACTTTACCTCACATCAAAGTAACAAAAAAAAAACAACAACAACAACAATCACGATTAAAAACCAATATCCAGATTTATTCGATTTAAATTAGGCTATCTTAATTTCAATCAAAATAATTTGATTTAGACCAGTGTAGCTAAAATATATATATATATATTCTTTATTACTAGATGTCTTTCAACATCGCATATTGATTGATCAGTCCTTCCGATCGCTGAACGATGTGGAAGAAAGAAGTACTGGACATTTAAAATAGTTCGATTAACAACTTTTTATTGATGTAAATACCACCTAACTATAACAAAAGCAGCTTAATTTTTTTTATTTTAATTAGTGAAAACGTTTTATTTGCTTTTTCGTTCGCTTTCTGATTTTGCTTGCAATAGGACATGACCTAACTGACAAACGAAGTTGAAGGTAGACAGCTCAATGCTCTGGTTTGCTTAAAAGAGCACCGCTTTTTGTTCGTGTTTGGCCTGCAATAAATCTTTTTTCGCTCGATGATATTTTTATATTTAAATACGAAACACAGGCACAAAGAAAGCATGAAATGACAGGCAAACCACAAATAAAGAGTATTTTGCGTACGGTTTTTACAGGAAAGTTTTGATGTAAGTCACCACAGTAAAACCGGTGTGATTTAAATCTCGATTTAAATCATCTTGGTTTTCATTCTTCACCCTGCTCCACATTTTCGTCCTGGTGATGCGCAAACTTCAACACTGCGGCTTTGTTTGGAAATAGCATTGCATTGCACTGGCGGTTTCACCGTTCAGTGCAGCATTTGTTAAACGGGCGTTTAAATTTTGCTTGAAACAGACCTCCAACTCAAGAAACGGTCAGTCTACTGTCGATGGAGCGAGATAGAGCGCGAAGAGCGAGACAGCGTCGGTGCTGCCATCTGGTTTAGCTAAAACGAAATGTTGCTCGCACCGGCTCAGGATTGCGGTTTCAAACTCGATAGTAGGTACTGGTGAGAGTTCGAGCGTTTACAAACGAAGGCAAAATACGACTGCTTATTTCCCAGTCTCTGTATGACAAAAGTTTTATTTGCTGCTGTTTTATGAATGTACAAATACAAAGAGCATCCCGGAAGCTATTTTCTTCAACTGGTTATCGTTGGAGCTTCGTGAACCCGAGGTCAACGTTACTAGCCCAAATTGACAAAGAAGTTATTATTAACTGCACATCATATGGTTTGAGAGTCATTCTTGTTGTGTATGAGTTAACTGCTTCTGTGACTAATTTTGTCATTCCTTGGATACTTTTTTGTAGAGTAATAAATGAAATACTTTGTTTTCTACTTATTTGACAGGATAAAGATTAATAGTGTTTTAATTTGCAAGGAATTCTTTCCAACGTGTAAAACTAAAAATGAAAGGGATAAATAACTCGCGGTAGAGGCTGCCTTTCAACACCGAACTTTCAGTTATTTTTGATGATGAGGATTCAAGTATATCGTGAAATTGGCTTTGTCGAAGGGTTGCAGTTGTAAGCAGTTATTTTTAAAGCTACTTGTACGAGACCGATGAAGGCCCAGAAATTGGTGCCAGATGCGTTGGACACCGGGGTCGTGGTTGAACACTGCTCGCCACAGAAGGTGCCTCTCATGAGAGGGGCCCTCTTGAAGATGTCCCCAAATCGCATTTTTAAATTGCATGGAAATTACTTCGATTTGTTTATAGCGCGAAAATCGTGTTTGTGTATGTCCGTTCATTCTTTTTCCCAGTCTCGATCGGGGTGTTTTTATTGTGTTCAACTATCACTAGCTCGTTTGCGCCTTACCTTTGGTGTTACCGGCTTTTTTTTTTTTTATTTGCAAAAAGGGTTTAGCTGGTTTGTAGAAGCTGTAAGGTTCGAAAATATGTTTAAAATGTTGTATTGACAGAACATAAAGAGTGTCTTCTTTCCGGGTGAGAAGTGGAATATTCCGGTGTTTCAAAGGCTTAGTGTATTACTTAGGGTTGCGTTTGACTCTAAAATAATGAAATACTTTTATCTACTTAAATTTTTGAAAGACTTTAACTACATAAAATGCAAAAAAAAAAGAAAAAAAAAACATTTATAAGTTAACGGTGTTGTGCGAAACTAAAAGACACTGCGACAGTAAACATGTTCTCCCAGAATCGTCAATTAAATCTCGCAGAAAAAAAAAAAAAAATTCGCTCTAACCAATATCCAGAGTTTGTTTTAAAATGTCTTTAATAATAATAAGACGAAAGAAACATCGGGGCCAGGTCAGCTGGGCTTAAGCCGTCAGTGCTGTCCTGGGGTGGGGGATGGGGATTAAATGAAGTGAGTCAGGTGAGCCTCCTTAATGAACCGCAGGAGAGAGATTGTATTCCCCTTCACACGTTTTGTGCGGCGTTGTCAAAGGCAGAGTCACGAGAGAGTCACGAAGGCATTGCTCTGTGAATTGATGTATCCATTTCATTCGAATGCTCGCACAAAAGAAAAACGCTTTCTAAGATTGCACAGTTGCTCTCATGTATTTCAAAACGATGCACCGAATTCGTGAGATGGCGTGTAGTTCCGACCTTAGAATAAAGATACCCCCGAAGCCTACCTTCTGCTTTGCTGGCACTATCATATCGATCAGCGGGGTGGTTTATTAGTTGGGGGGGGGGGGGGGGGGGGGGTTGTGCCTCAATATTGTTTTGCCTCCTCTATGTTTCAATGGTGTGGCGTGGGAAAACAAATGTACTCCCGCATACCGGAAGTTTGCTAATTCAAGATGGCAACGCACGCGTAGTTTCCAATTTCCATAGCCGCTGACAACTTAAGGAACGCAGGGCGTGTCGAGTCCCAGTCATCATCGCTCCACAGCCAGTGAGATGGCGGCCTCAATCAATAGGAACTCCGGAAAAACAAATCAGGGACCAATCATAATAAACCTCATCCGGCGTTTCTTAAGCTGTCGGTGACTAAAGTCACTGCATCTGGGAAAGTAGCGCCATTGCCTTCACACCTGCTAGCCGGACACAGCCAAATGCCAACATACAGACGACGAAACCTGTCAAGGTGATTGGCTTATCGCTGTCTGTTGCTGTGGTGATCGCCATTTTGGACCCTTTCAAAGCTTCGAAGCTTCGAAAGGGCTATTAAAACCAGTCGCACCAAGATCGTAATGGAGCGTCATCGTACTGAAGGCGTTCCTCGGCTAATATGAGTTATCACTCATGCTTATTTCCCCAGAACTCTCACAGTTATGTGGCCCTTCTTGCGTGTTTCAAGGCATTAAAATTATTTTTTAATGCACTCAAAGCACCGACGCCGCGTGCGATGCCCTACATTTTAGTACCGCCATTGAAAAATAATTTTACTCTCTTTGAAAAAGGCATTGATAAATAATTTTACTTTCTTAAAACACACACGGAGGGCAACATAACTGTAAGAGACCTGGGGAAATAAGCATGAGTGATAAGCTTATTGCATGCACGGAGCCAAAGACGCCCATATTGGCTGAGGAACACTTTCAGTACGATGGTGCTCCATAGCGATCTTGGTGCGACTGGTTTAAACAACCCTTTCGAAGCTTCGAAGTTTTGAAAGGGTCCAAAATGGCGATCGCTATGGCAACCGAAGTTGTCTCGCTGTCTCGCTGCCTCGCCGTCTCGCCGTCTCGCCCAGTTTACGTTCGCCTCCTGTTGCGTCTCCGGGAGCGCGTTTGTTCGGGGTCCCCGGGGTTCTTGGTTTTTCCAACCATGGCGTCCACGGTGCTACCAGCCAAGGGTATGTGTTTTTCGTTCAGCGTCTCTGCCGACACCGCCGTGGACGAGATTATGGACGCTTTTCAAGTAACCGCCGGTTCCCGAGGTTTGAAGTTCTTGCTACACCAAGATGGATCAAGGTTTATCTCGTCGGTGACAAGCATCAGTGCAGCGAACCGCCTTGTAGTCCAAGGGAACTTGGTGCTCCGTGACGTTGCGGTGCCACTCGAAGCAGTTGGCGTCCACGTCCTTCATGTCTCCATTTATCGTCTCCCGCCGTATGTCACAGAGGAAGCCGTCGTGCAAGCCATCGCCCCGTTCGGAAAAGTAAAGTCCATCATGTACGTGTCGTACCGAGACCGTCCCGACATTCTGACAGGAATGAGGGTGGTTAAGGTGGAAATGACGAAGCCGATACCAAACTTTATCACCATCCAAGGGCACCGAGTAATGGTGGATTATCGTGGCCTGCGACGTGTGTGCAACCGGTGCGGACAGGAAGGGCACATCGGGCCAGCCTGCAAGACCGCACGCTGTGAACGTTGCGTCGTTTTCGGGCGTCCAACAGCGGGCTGCACCGCTCCTTGTTTGCGGTGTGGTCACGCCCACGCTACAACGGACTGTACACAGCGTAGGTCCTACGCCGCTGTGGCCCACCCAGCGGGAGCCCCTCGACCCCACCAGCCACCGCAGGGTGCCGGAGGCAAGGGCCCCCCTGTTCCAGGGGAGGTCAATGACGATTTGGACCCTTGCATCCGTCCGCGGGCTCGCCCATTGGCCCCAGGTGACACGCCCTCCGGTGATTCATCGAGTGAGTTTTCCTCTGACCTCTACCGCTGTCAAGTCACCCGAGGAGTTTTCTATGAAAAACCCTTTGCAAGTCATCGTCAAAACGCAAGTCACCGCCGCAACGCCCCCCACCGTCCCAGCGCAAGTCGCCGCCGCGACGCCCACCATCGCCCCAGCGCAAGTTGCCGTCGCGGCGCTCCCCGTCGCTCCGACGCAAGATGACGCTGCAGCGTCTCCCGACGCCCTCGACTCCCAGGAGAGTGACGTGGCCGACTCGAGTCATAGCCCTGGTCGTCTGGTCATCTCCGACGACATGGACCTAACCCCAGGCCAACGAGAGCCTTCCACCCGTTCTCAGTTGTCGCCGTCAACACAACGTGAGTCGTCCAAGTTTTCTTCTTCTGACAAAGGCGAGGACGGGGCGGCTGACCGTGGCGAGAAGCGAACTTTTCCGAGCGCTAGCAGCGGCTCGGACGGGCCCATCGCGTCCACCGTCAAAAAAAAAAAAAAAAAGCGTTCCGAGCTTCATGATTCGGACGAGGACTACAGCCTCACGTTTTAGCCTATCCTGTGATTGTGCTGTTTTGTCTTTCTTGCTTTTTATGGGCTTGCACGTGATTACACTGAATCTTCAGGGTTTTCTCTCCTCGAACAAACAACGCGAGGTTGTGCATTTTGCCCAGGCGCAACATTGCGATCTGCTTTTTCTGCAGGAAACTAATTTTTTTTTTCCGCACGAGATGTAGCCGAGTTTAAGACGAGATTTTCTATTCCATGTTACTTTTCTTTTGCTGTGTCACGCTCATGTGGCGTGGGCGTTTTAATTTTTCGTACTTGTTTCCTTAGAGGCGCATTTTTTCTTTGTGATCCTGACGGCCGCGTCCTTGTATACTTCTTTTTTGTGGGTCATGCTAAGTTTCGGACAGTGAGTGTTTATGCGCCTGCGCGTGCTTCGGCGTCTAACAGTTTTTTTGTAGTCTTTCTCAATATGTTCCCGACGACGGTTCCTTTTTGCTTTGCGGGGACTTCAATTGTGTACAAGATTCTGCTCGGGATGTTCGCGGCCCTGAACGCGGACGTCCCACTTCAAATGCCCGTGAGCTTGTACGAAGGTTTACGCTCTACAATTTGCGAGATGGCTGGCTGGAGTTGAATGGAACGGCGTACATGTCCACGTGGTCGCGAGGCTCCTCGTCGAGCCGTCTAGATCGGGTATATGTTCTTTCTTGCCCAGCTACTCATATTGAGACCTGCACGGTGCTTTCTTTTCCGATAACCGCTGGCTACATTTCAGACCATTGTCCAGTGTCCATTGTTTTCGACGTCTCCAGTTATTTGCAACCGCGAGGCGACGCATGACGAATGGACGTCTCCCTTCTGCGGGATGACCTAGCCCTTTCGAGCCTGCGACAATCTATAGGGTTGTCACTGACGGTCGTTCCCCTATCTCACACCCGGTGGGATGGGATCAAGGCTGACTGCCGTTTCCTTACAACAGCAGCGGGAAAAAGGCTTTGACGCAGGACGACCGACGCCCTCAACGAGGTTGTCAACCGCATCCGCGCAGTGCAGCGTGGAAGCGCGCGCACACACCTGATGTCGGAATACCGGTCCTCCGTGATCGTCACCAGCGTCTTTTACGCTTGTCCTCCCGAAGGGTTGTCGAGCAGCGACTGCAAGACCGGCCTGTGAATGACTCAGAGGTTCTTCGGTGCTACCGCGCCGTGCAAACTGGTGGAGTTGGACCGCCTTTCATTCATAATGTCCAGCTCGCGGACGGGAGCTTTTCCGACGATCCGCACGACATAGACACGGTTTTCAAGGATTTATTTTCACAACTTTTTTGTTCTGATCACCTTGCGTCCGAAAATTTTGCTGAGAAAGTTCACCAGTTCTGTGGCGACGTTCCTGCTTGCCCCGAGTTGTTGGCCTCGTCTCTCCTGCGTCCCACTGACCGCGATGAACTTTTCGAGATCCTTTGTGCTATGAAGACTGCGTCTGCCCCAGGGCCGCATGGCTTGCCACCCGAATTTTGCGTTTCTTCTTGGGAGATATTCAGGGCCCCTCTTGTCCAGCTGGTCAACGGGATTCTGGAAACCGGCGCCGTTCCGCCATCATTCAAACGTGGTCGCGTGATGCTCGTCCCTAAGGAAGGTGGCTCGCCGTCAGACCCTTCAGCGTGGCGGCCCATAACGCTTTTTAACACAGACTACGAGTTGGCGACGTCGCTGCTGGTCTCCCGTCTGAGCCACATTTTGCCCCATGTTGTAAGCCCAATGCAGACGTGTTCCGTCCCCGACAGGAAAATCTTCTCGTCCCTGTCTCTCACGCGCGATCTGTCTTCGTACGCCAATTTTACACACTTGTCAGGGTGCTTCGTCTCTCTCGATCAGGCCAAGGCCTTCGATTGAGTCGAGCACCGTATTCTGTTTGAAGTATTGAAAGTTTTTGAGTTTTCTGACATTTTTATAGCCCTGCTCCGATCCATGTACAGTGGGCTGACAAGCCATCTCCAAGTAAATACGCGGATCCTTGCTCCTTTTTCCGTGACAAGGGGAGTGCGGCAGGGTTGCCCCCTGTCTCCCCTGCTTTGTCTTAAGCCTGGATCCTCTCCTCCGACGCCTTGCGTCTTGCTCCCACGTACGCGGCTTTCCGTTACCTGGCCACGGTGATGTCGCAGTTAGCGCGTACGCCGACGATGTCAGTTTGTTTTTGCGTGACTCGCGGAGCTTTGAGTCTGCTGCACAGCTTTTCTCACAGTATGGTTTCCTTTCGGGAGCGCGTCTAAACACCTCCAAAAGCCAAGCTCTTTGTTTTGGAAGCTCCCCTCCATCCTTACATGCAGACATCCAGACTGTAGCCGTGGTTCGCGTCCTAGGTGTGTTTTTTTTACTGTTGTGGGGTGTCGCCCCGCACTTGGGAGATTATAAACTCCGCGCTCGAACGCCAAGTTGCCGTGGCGGAAACTTTTGCGTTGTCGCTTCGTGAGAGCATATCTTGTGAGAGCAGTTTTCTGCGGCCAAATTTTCTATACTGCCCACGTCGGCCTCCCTCCACCGCGATTTTGCCGGTGTGTAACGACCTGCCTTTGAGGTTTACTCGAGCCAGGGCACGGAGCTCGTGACCAGAGCTGTTCTCCGTCTCTCGACGTCACTCGGAGGAAGGGGAATGCCTTGTATCGACACCATGTCGCGAGTACTCGCGTTTCGCACCATCTTGGGGGTGCTTGACGACACAGAACACCCGGCGCGTTGTTTGGCCTTGTATTTCTTGGGTCCCTCGCGTCGAAGGCTCGTACCCCGGGCCCTCGGCAACCTCTGCCCGAGCGCTGCGATTACATCCCCTTCCTACTAAATGGTGGTGAGTTTCCAAGAAGATTTATACAGAATGGTGCCAGACCTTATGGTGCGAGACGAGCCACCGGCTCGTATAGTCGAGGAGGTCTGCTTGATGCGGATCACAGCTGATGAGCGAGTACGGGCAAACGCTTTTCCATTGGACTTCTTGGTTTCTCGCCGTCTTCCTGGAACCGTGGAGGACCTCGAGTGGCGTCGAGGATGGGAGGGTCTTCCGACCAGGGATCGTCTCCAACGTTGCGGCATGGTTCCCAATTCCCGGTGCCCTAACTGCGGAGAAGTGGAGACGAACTCCCACGTTTCTGCGACTTGCAGCGTTGCGCGATCATTTTGGCGTCTCGTGCACCGTGGTTTTCGCACTCTGGGCATCGTGCACCACGTCTCGGGCCGCCGCTATCCTCGAGGAGGCTTCGCCCTCCTCCTATTAGCAGTCGGCCCGCATGTGCTTTGGCAAAATCGTTGTGCTGCAGTGGGCCAGCAGCGTCGTACGCGAGCCATGTGACCTCTGCTGTCCCGTCTTCGTGGTTCCTTGTACCGTTATATAGACCGCGAACTCTTTTGGCTGGGAGAGCAGGAGTTCCTGAGACAATGGTCCTGCCTCTACGTCCGGTTGGCCAACTGCCAAATCCTTCTTTCTTTCGCGCCACCTCCCTTGATGTGATAGGACCTTTACTGAAATGGTATCTGAGTTTGACGGGTTTATCTCTCCTCACATATTCTCTTTTTTCCTGAATCAGTGTCCTTGGTACGCTATTTTTGCGTGATGGATAAGATACTGTGTTCAGTTCTTGTGTAAATTGTACCCATTGAATCGAAGGGTCCAATAACTATAAATAAGCTTGAAGACCAGTGTGTCTATTATGTATGTGTCATATTCCATTGAATTGATATCAATAAACTTTTTCTAAACAGCCAATCACCTTAAGAGGCTTTGTTGTCTGTACGTTGGTATTCGTTTGTGTCCGTCCAGCAGGTGGGAAGACAATGGCGCTACGCTCCCAGATCCACTGACTTTATCAGTGACCAGACAACTGATTTTGCACGAAAACCAGAAGCGAGACAAAATCGTAACATTCCCTCAATTTCCCTTCATCAGGCTCGCAGGACGCCGCGGCGGATCTTCCGCTTCTGCAGTCTCGAGGAGTGACCCACGTCGTCAACGCCGCCGGTGCGTCGGTGCCGGAGGTCCACGGGTCTTCGCTGTCCTATCTGTCCCTCCCGCTGCTGGACCTGCCCGAGTGCGTTCTCTCGGACGCCGTCATCGGGGCCGTGGGTGACTTCGTGGAAGAGGCGCTGTCCAGCGGAGGTGCCGTGCTGATTCACTGCAACGCCGGCGTGTCCAGGTCCTCGGCCTTGGCCATCGCCTTCCTCATGACCCGTCGTGGAGCTGGCTACCAAGAGGCCCTCAGCAGGGTCCGAGCGGTTCGAGCCGCGGCCTGTCCCAACGAAGGGTTTCGGCGGCAGTTGCGTGATTTAGAGCTCCGGCTAAGGCCACACTAAAACTAGGATAACATTCAGGGCTGCTGTACGGCAACATTCACTGTTAATTTCTTGCACTAGATCCCCCTCGCGTAATGCACTTTGTTAAAGTGCCTTTGAAAATTGATAATCTGAACTGAACTAAACAGCTGAAGCATCTCAAGAGATCAACGTTGTCTTTACATCGTGCTTTAGACAATCCCTTCGGCGACAGTGGCGCGATCTAGACAACCGACTGTGGCAGTGCTAGAACTGGGACATTTAGGGCTTGCACTTTTAGTCGATTATGAGTGTGTTTCTGCGAGGAGGGGAGGCAGTTAAGAATCTCAAGAGTTCTGTGCAACGTTTCTCATTACTTCGTTCTTTGGGCAATCTCTTGGGAAGCAGCTGTGCGACCTGGATAGCCGACTGTGACCACGCTAGAACTGGGACGACGTTCAGGGCTTGCACATTGGTCGATGCTGAGTTAGCTTCAGAGAAAGTGCACGTGTGTGTGTGTGGGCCGGGGGGGGGGGGGGGGCGGTGTTGGAGCACTTCAAGTGTCCTGCGCAACCGTGTTTCACTTCGTTCTTCGGACAATCTATTCGGAGGAAGCTGTGCGACCTGGACAGCCGACTGTGGTCATGATAGAACTGGAACAACATTCAGGGTTTGTACTTTAATTGATCTCGAGCCTATTTCAGCATCTCAAGAGCTCTGTGCAACTTTGTCTCTACTTCGTGCCTTGGACAATCCTTTCGGCTGCAGCTGCTTGATCTTGGCAGCAGACTAGGACAGCTCAAGAGTTTGGACATTCAGGGTCTGCCCCTGGGCAGCACTTTTTAGATGACCAAGCCATAGATAGTGCAGAATGTTCAGCGTCAGTGTTAACATGTCATTTAAAGGTCCACGATGGGACACAGATTGGACAGGAGCGCTGCTTCAGCATGCAGCTGTGGGCTCACAGTTTCTCCTATTTGACACGAGTGTCAGCCGAGCGCCGACGCTGCTCTCGTGTTCAGTCACTGTCCTGCGCTCGATCGAGGAAGATGACTTAAATAATCCAGTGCACAGGCTTTGTGTTAGATAAGCACCGAAGTCGGTCTAAAACAAGCTGGACAAAGTGCCCCGTATATTTCGATCTCCTTGCCAATAGCAAGAAAGCTTTTCAAAATCTCCATGATGGGAAGAGTGCAAGGACACTGAATGAATTTACGGAGAATGAAGTTAAGGATAATCTTTATATTATTCGCTGTTCTTTTGTTTATGTTTCTGCTTTCCCCGATGACTGAACTTGTCTGCGATGGAATAAACGAAATACAATTAAAGAAAGCGGCAATTTTAGCAGAGGTAAGTCGAAACTAGATGTTGATTGGTCCTCATATAGTTAGTGTATGATAGAAGTCTTTTTAGACGCGTACAGGGCGGACTGTTCCCAGATAACTATTATTTCTATATGGATTCCTTTGGAGTCTGATTTTATCTTCGACAACCGAGGGGAGCGGCTGAGGTTTTTCTCACGGAACTCCAGACAAAGGCCAGTCCTCATTCTACAACTATAGACGCAGCTGAAGGATTTCAACTTACGAAGTATGATTGTGGAAAAAAATGGCACCGACCCGTACATTTTGCTTAAGAATGGGCTGCACCTTGCTTTAGTGCGCGCGTGCTCGTGTACTTAGTTTACTAATTTTATTTTATTGAATACTCAGCAGGTCCTATATTTCCACCTATTATTTTTAAATGGAATTTCGGCTCTCGCCTGTCGTTGTGTCTGATTTAGTTCTTAATAAAGCAAGTCATTTATTTGCCGATTTGGTTTGGTCCCGGTTTCACCTCCTTTGTGTTCCAACCGACAGCGCGATCACATTTCTTTCTCGCACAGGGGTTAGTGGTGCAGGCTGTGTTTATACTCACCAGAGTTCTGAAGTGCGTGGACCAGAACCTGGTGCTGCGGTTTTGATATGACGTGCGTTAACCCGTCGTACGTTTGTGTCATCACTGCTGTGGGCTTCAAGCATGTTGAAATTTTAGGGTTAGCAAATAAACCGGCCGAATTGTTTCTTTAAAGCGGAGGCGCAAGTTAGCATGTTAAATTAAACTAACAGTCATGCTTGACACATTTTGTTTTCTCTTAGTTTGTCATCTCACTCGGCAATGAAGCTTCTGCGGGAGGCATTCAGCGTCCTAACTACATTGGCCTCCCAACTACCAGGTGGTATTGAGAAATCGTTTTACTCGTTTTAAAATTCGTTTTCGTACGTTTACGAGCAGAAGACTGGTGTTTCTAAGGCGCTGGCACGACGTAGTTTCTGGATAAACAGAAATGAGAGCTAAAATTTTGTTTCTGTACCTCTTTCAGATTGCAATCGTCATGCGCAAAAGTCTGTACAAATCAAGATTTTTTTATTTTTTTTTCAGCAAAACGCTTTTGCATTCGTTGATCACGTTGCACCTAACTTTTGAGGTGCAGTATATGCCGTTCCACAAAACGGCTATGACAGTTGCTATTCAACTTGTTAGAGCGCATGGATCATAGTCCCTTGAGTGCCTCAATGTTGCTGGGCTGGCAGCTTTCCCAGAGTAGGGACAACCCTGTCGTCTGCTAACGTATCGGCCATCTTGCCTCCCACTTTATGCAGCCGTTTATGAGCTGCTTACGCAGTTATTGACCACTACCACTTGTGAAATTACCCGGGGTAACTTTATGAACACGTAACGTTAGGCGTTTCGTCAAGCATGGATTTGTTTTCGGCGCCGGTCAGGGGCAAAATGATTCCCGCGGTCAGGAAAAGGCGGAATTTGCTTTTCTAAAGGCTGCGACCACTGCAGCAAGGCGCAACCAGCGAGCAACCAGTGAGGACCTCTATGCTTTTCTCACCTGCTGAGCCACCAAGCGGCGTGCGGCTGGACTTGGTCAGTTTTTACGCTTGAAAAACCACAAAAACAGAGGGCTAGTTGATAGTAATTTATTTTCTTCCGTGTGCGAGCAGGCTTCAGATCTAACCTAGCCTGTTCATGACGAACCATGCTGCGGATTATATCAGAAGCCTGCCTGTAGGATGATATATGAAATATAATTGATCTCACAAACGTCTGCAGTGCTGACGAAGATACTGACGCAATTGTGTTGCTTTGGAGTGATATCTATGAGAGTGTTCTAGTGCAAACAATTGTATCATGTTGATCTAAGCCCACGCGCCTGTGCCTTTGTCTGCATTACAGTATACATTTGAGAGATGGAGTGTGGTCGAATAAGCGGATGGTGGTAAATATGTGTGTGACCTTAAGAAAAAGAGCACATCTTGCCTGATTCACCACACCTGAGAGAATAACCACACCGCACCAATTACAAGGTCATGGCATTTGATACGTTAAGGTGATATCACAAAACAATATCATAACCCATTGTTCGTCCTGTTTGTAGTGATGTTTCATCAACGCCATTTGATGGTGAGAAATGAACATTATCAAAGCAGCTCGCTTTTAGCCCACCCTCGCAAACAGAACACAGACCTGGCGGATTAGATAACACCCGCTTAGATATATATTCGGAAAGTAAACATCACTGTTGTGCGGATCATTTTGTTTTGTTTTTACTCGAGTGGGTGGTGTTTGTGTTACTCCAGCTTTCTTCGAAGAAGGAGTCCAATGGTGTGGATACTGCGGGGTTCGTAGGCTTGGGCTCGTGGGTTATTGTGTCCGGTAGCTCTGTTCCCGGTGAGGCATTGCCCATCAGCTCTTGCAGCTTCCGGCGAAATTCTTCGCGCACTGTTTTGAGGCGCTGCTGCCTCTCCTTGAGTTGCGCCGCCAGTTCATCCTTGCGGGCGCCCGTAGGGGTGAGTTTCAGCTGCCGCACCAGGTCGGAGATCTCGAGTTCGAGGGCTTCGGTCGCATCCCTGTTCTCCTTGGACATCCTTCGCATCTCGGCGCGGGCGTCTTCACTGAGGAGAAAAGTGTCGTTGGCGTAGCAAACTGCGGATGAGAAACAATCGTGTGACTTAGACATTGAGTTAAATGGAATAAAGGTAGCGTGAAATGCACATATCCCTCGGGCAGCGAAGTTTGGTTCGACAAGGGGCGCCAGCTTATGCGGAATTTTCGAAATTCTGAGACGACCTGCGGCCACAGTCGTCGGACCCAATCTCGAGCTCGAGTGGCGTGCGGAACCTCGAGTCTCTGACGTACTACTCAAGTCAAATCGTTCGGTTTCTTGGCCTCGCCAATGTTGCTTTTTTTTTTTTTTTTTTTGTCACCAGCCGCGCTGATTAGTAGCCGACCACAGCGCCTCCTGTTCAGTGCCCGGGCTATACGCAGTTTCTACCGTGCTACGCAGCCTCCGTTCCTGCACAGCGAAGATAGGGGAAAATGGAGTTTTAGTGCACCCCTTCGCTCCTTCCCTTTACTCCTTACGGCGCAAGACCATTGGTTGCGCGCTTGCTACGTCCGAACAACAGCTGCGGTCCGTTGCTGACACTCTACCCCCTGGCCTTCTTACGGTGAGAACTAAACTTACTTTAGTGCCACCAACACGAACACTAACCAACATGAACAAGTAGTCTGTAAAGCTATCGCTTTAGAGTACGTCATAGTGAGGGATACATTCACGAAGTAAGCGAGGTTTAGTGGACGTACGTCACACGCTCAGCTGGTGACTAGCAAACCTATAGTTGCCTTCTCACCACGGAAGCTTTTGTTCACCCAGCGGGCAGCAAGGTGGACAAACACGAAAAAATGCTTGACAATCACCAACCATACTGCTTTTCACGTCACGATGTACCGCAACCAACGCTTCGAGCCATATTAGTCAATCTAGCGCGCGCAGCTCCGCTCAATCAGAAGGTCATGTAACGCACTCCGAGCTTTGGATCGGCTCCGGTAGCTCGTAGTGTCCGCTGTGGTACATCTTAAGAAGGTGAAAAGGAGTATACAGTAGCAAAATAAGTTTAGGAGCAAACGGTACCGCGGGAGACTGCTCGGATCGCCAAGAGGCTTTTGTTTTTTTTCGGTGAAAACTAAGTTATTTATTAGTCTAGTAACACTTGGTCCGGAGGTGAAGAGAATGACGACCGCTACTGCACATCCATGATTATGTTCTGGCTTCCAAACGAATACGTTGTTAGGGCCCGTCACTCCCAAGACCCAGTGTATTTACTAAACAATATTCTAGTGCTTTAATGACCTTTGTTTTTAGTACCGCACTGGTACTTGGGCAAAATCCTCCTTGGGTATATGCACCAACCATTCAAGAAGAACAACAACAACATGCGGTTCTGCGTTCCTCGAGTTGCTCGACATGGCATTGTTACAGTGTTCTAGAGAGCTGTAAAGCCTAGAGCGGCGGCCGCCGCGTGAAGATTTTGCGCATAGACGACACCGTAGTGCTGCTGCTCTGAGCCCCAGGAACGTGCCTCCGTCAGCTTCGTCGTCGAAGCTGCTCGGCGTGTACTACTGTGGTTCGACTGGAGTTTTTCGCGACGCAGAACAATAGACCGATCTCACTATTTTGACGCCGCCATAACTTTAGTTCACAGGAGGCAGACGGCTGTGCTTGCGAGGGCTCGTGCCGTCTCGTACTCTACACACGCAGAGCTCCAGCGAGGTTCTCGCACGCGCAGAAAGACTAAAGTTCCCTAGAAGCATTGCGGCTGCGGTGGCGTAGTCAAACTGGCTGGTGAGATCGGTCTATTGCTATTGTGTAAAATTTTAGGTTTTCCTTTGGACTAATGCCTGTAGAGTGTGTGCTATCCTCTACTTTCAATATTCGCGTGTTCTTGATGGAGATCATTTGATTAATATGGACTCACCCGCCCCCCCCCCCCCCCCCCCCCACACACACACACCTTTCCGAGTACTGACAGGTCGTTCAGCAACGCTATCACTTGTGCTGCACGCTTAGTAGCTGCGAAAGAAGCCACGCGATACTGATATAACAAGGAAAAATAGACAAATAAATCCCGATAAATCGCTCCCTTTTTTAATGGTGAGAGGAACAATAAACATATAGCAAATTGTCTTTTGTGGAGGGCAGTCTATGAAGAAAAAAATACCTCGATTGGCCCCCTCCCCCCCCCCCCCATTGGCCTCCCCCCCCATTGGCCGCCCCCCCCCCCCCCCCCCCCCCCCCCTGGCTACGTGCCTGTGTTTGAACCTCGTCCAACACAACCCAAGCTTGGGAGCTGCGCCGGTAGTGGGCTCGAAGTTCTGTCACTGCTCGCATTTCATTTGAACACGACAAGTACATAGCTCTGCACGCTATCCCATCATCAGTAGAAAATATTAACAAAATAATAATAGAAAAATCAAAACTTTGACGAACCCACGTGCTAAGTAGCATTCTTTTAGGTTTTTGTTTTAGAGCAGTTGCTGCTGCAGACGCCCGCACGGCTAGCGCGTGTAACTATACACTCCTATCATGCTCTTTGGGGCTTGGGTACTGGTCCCTTAAAAGGGCGGTGCAGAAATGCGTAGTTTCAGTACTACTTGGAATTATTTATTGACGTTTAGAACTACGAAACAGGCGTTAGGGTTTCTTTCCACGTAATGGCGGTGGCAGGAAAAAACAAAACAAAGAGACACGCAGAGTTCGCTTGCGCTCTCCTAACTCGCAACGAGAACGAGCTGCCGAATGAAACGGCATTTGAAAGATTTCTTCAGGTGAAGCTCGTGTTGTTCTTATTTCAAGACGCCGAATTAGAGCACTTCGGTCTTTCTCGGGTTTTCCACATTTTTTACCGAACAAGGCTCGGGGTTTACTAGTTTACATCTAAAAGCGCAACCCTAGTTATTACCTATTCTTGGTCAATTCGCCCGTCGGTTGCATGCCAAAGGGATGCGGAGAGCAGGAGCAATCTCAAGGCTCCACGTGACTGATAACAACTAAATCAATGTCTGAAGACAGCCGAAACAAGCCATTGTTTTAAAATCCTGTCCTGTGCACTTGAGTTGCGTCAACGCCTCTAAAAAGACAAAACAATGGAAGCCGCGTGGAGGCCCTGAGATGAACATCAGCGGTTACCTTATCTGGGTTGCAGATTAGCTTATTGCGGTACCTAGTGAAAGAGACTAGTTTTGGTTCGCAATCCAGGCCGCTCAGAACATCGAATTTTCCGCGTGAGCAAATATTTTGACTGATAGAACGTTTGACCAAAAGTGAGCATGCTCTGGAGGTGTGCGTCGGCCCCTATACTCCTCCACCCATAAGCTGACGGTGCAGTGGGACTAGCTGGCTCGCCGGACCGATCAGCCGCCTCCCTTTCGTCACCCGACACCTCTCTCTGCGCCTAAGTATGGGCAGGAGCGTGGCCACGAGGCGAAATACAGACTCATGGCTGGTTCATTGAACACCTATCTTCACTATCTTAAACCGCGCTGTCCGCTTAGGGGAAACAGAGTATTAGCGCTGTGCGCGCCAAAAAGCGTCCCTGTGGTCGGTTTCCCGGGATCGGCAAGACAACGGGCATGAGAGCATTGTCGGACTGTCTGTCAAGGTCTATGGTAATGGCTCTTATAGCTTCCACTGTGCTTTCTGAACACACCATCGATTTTCTTTTTTGCAACTGATAAGTAGCAACGATCACAACTCGTGACGTCATGGCGAGGCAAGGTCGTGACGTCACGCATGAAAACCGTAGGAGGGCACCATCGAAACATATCTCGGTGCTAATAGTCCGCCATGCAGGGGCCTGCGCGGCTGGGCCACGCAGCGGTACTTGCTATCGGACTGCCCTGGCCTGGCTAGCGGCCCGTCATAGCGCGTGGCAGGAGCTCGGAGGGAGTGCGGAATGCCCTTCAGCGCCACAACGTCTCCTCTGTTCGGTATGATGAGCCCTCCGGTACGAACTGCGCATGCGGTAGCACAGAAGACTCGCATATGCACAGTTCGTATACCGAAGGGCCCATCGTACCCTATCGGATGTGCAAACACGGTTCTCTACAACTTTCTAATAGGAAGGTTTTACCGTGTTTGCACATCCGATACAGTACACACTGCCAGTGTGCGAGTCTTCTGCGGAGTGCATGCGCAGTTCGTACCGGAAGGCCCATCGTAGCGTAGGGGATGTGTAAAAACGGTTCCCTAAAACTCTCTAATAAAGAGGGGGTTTTCCTGTTTCTGACGTGAACTGTTGGATTTCGACAGATGTTCGAGCCTTGACCTAGATAGGAGTTGGTGGCTGCTCACAAAGTATGCGGAAAATTCCAGATTACGCGATATCAAGCAGGATATCTGACAGACGCCCTGTCTCTCTTCGTGTGAGCAACAAGACGCTATTGTAGGCCTGCAAGAGTGACATTGAGGCGCATCCCTTCCAATACAGTTTATCTGCGCACGTTTTGGTGCTCAAAAGCTTGTTGCAGATTTAAACTTGCAGTGTTGTGCGCATTTTGCGGCTATAAGCCTGCTTCTCGCTGTTAGGGGGCACGAGCGAGCTTGGAAGACCGCGTGTGTATGAAGGCACTTTATGGAAGACTAGAGTGCCTTCATACACACGCGGTCTTTTGCTTGAGTGGTGACATCTCAGCCATTTTCCCGCCCAATCGCTTTTTTATGCATTTTGAAGTGCGCGCAATCCGGTGTCACTCAGCTCGAGCGCGTAGCTTTGGCTAATGCACAGATGCCATTTTACCGCCCAAGTTACGCACTGAGTGCGCGAAAGCGTCACGCGCTGGCACATTCAGGGCAACAACGGATGTCTTCACCCTGAGACAGACAGACATGTAGGCACCCTGCGGAAAACGCGACCATGTAATGTAATAGACCTTTCCGGAAGTTCCCAGGAGACCTCGTGGCGAGGGGAAGTGTGGGTTGTTTTGATCTACGTTAGTGCAGACTCGAACGCTTTGTACATCTTGGAAGCGGTACGATTCGTTCTCTCTTATCATTAGAAACTTAGAACAAAAATAGAAAGAAAGTAATTAACACAAAAGGAGGCCAGCACATTTGATGTGTTGCTTTCTTTCTTCCTTCTTTGCGC